TGTATGTTTAGTTTCTGAGATATAAGCCGACGAAGTTCGTAAACACGTCGTATCGGGGTAGGATTGACAAAGAAAAAAAACCGTTTTTTTAGTATAAATAAGACAAAAATGTATTGATCGGAACTCAAATACATGTCTAGTTGATGATAATGATGATGATAGTAAATCAGGGTGTATACGAGGCACGGTCAAAAAATTCATTTTTCGGAAAAAAAATTCGAGTACTATTCCAAAACCAACAAGTTATATTTTGGTGAGACATTATAGTTTTAGTCTATCGTAGGCTTCGAAAACGTATTTCCATTCATGATAATTATCTCTGTTCGAAATATGAATTCTTTGAATTTCGTATTATACCCCTTTTGGAAAACAATTGACAGCTTGTTTTTGATCACAAAAAAAGGATTGATTGATACTGTTGATTTAATGAAAGCTGAGGTAACTCACTAGCGAATTCAGTTGTTCAATATTGCTTTTCATTTAGATACAGGGTGTGTTAATAGATTTTGTTGAAGATTATTCAACATGTTTCAATTGAATATCTCGAAAACAGTTTTGTTGATTTGGATCTCATTTCACTCACACTATTTTGAATATGTTGACTATCAGATGCAAGAAGTTTTTCAATGAAACGAAACATGAAAAATTGAAAAACTTTTTGCATATGATAGTCAACATATTCAAAATAGTGTCAGTAAAATGATATCCAAATTAACGGAACTGTTTTCGAGATATTCAATTGAAACATGTTAAATAATCTTCAACAAAATCTAACACACCCTGTATCTAAATGAAAGGCAATATTGAACAACTGAATTCGCTAGTGAGTCACCTCAGCTTTCATGCAATCAACAGTATCAATCAATCCCTCTCTTTGTGATCAAAAACAAGCTGTCAATTGTTTTCAAAAAGGGGTGTAACACAAGATTCTAAAAATTCATATTTCGAACAGAGATAGTTATCAAGAATCAAAATACGTTTTCGAAGCCTACAATAGACTTAAACTATAATGTCCCACCAAAATATAACTTGTTGGTTTTGGAATAGTGCTCGAATTTTTTTTCCGAAAAATGAATTTTTTGACCGTGCCTCGTATACACCCTGATTCACTATAATTTATGTGATCATAACTAGACATGTATTTGAGTTCCGATCAATACATTTTCTAGCTTATTTTGTCTTATTTATACTGGAAAACAGTTTTTTTTCTTTGTCAATCCTACCCTAATAAGACGTTTTTACGAACTTTGTCGGCTTATATCTCAGAAACTAAACATACAAAACTTTTCAAACTCACATATTTTTCTAATGAGCAATCCCAAAACAACATAGTGAAATTTCAGCCAATTCGACCGAGATCCAATTTCCCGTGTTTTCGTGCGGGGTCCTTTCTAGCCGTTTGAAAATTACCGTGGCATTATTGATATTTTTAGCACCTAAAAATCGACCGAAAAATAACTGAAAAATATTAAATTGAAAGGTAATTGAGTGATGATTCTATTTGAGAAATGAAAAGAAAATAGTCCAGTCGCCTATTGAATAGATCAAATGCAATCAGAATAGAAATCTTTCTGTAGAGAAGTTAACTGATAGTGGATATGCTCACAGACTACAATGTTATTATAAAATTTATAAATTCCTAAAGGATGCATCCTATTTCCTGTTTATTTTCACGCTTTCTTGGCGTGCTCATTTTTCAGCGTGTCACTATCATGTTTCACGCGAGTTTTTTTTTATGGTGAACCGAGGAATTACAGTATATCAATTTGGGCTTGTCTACACATGCACATAAAATATAGGTCAAATACGAAGGTATGATGAAGGCTCATGTATTTACATGTTTCATCATTCAGGATTTTTTGCTGAAGGTCACCAGACTGCAAGCAATGTGGAGGGAAAAATATTGGTAATTCCGAAGTGACGATCTCCTACAAGAAGACAAACACGGTTTTGATTCTCATAAACTGCGAATTGGACATCATAAGAGTTTCGTCAGTTTACTTCTCTACAGGAAAATAAAGAGCAAAATATTGTTCAGTCAAGGTTTCGAATTATCTTTTCAAAAATGTTGTTTGAGATGTTGTTTCTAGGAGGGATTTTTTTTTGTATATTTCGGACCTATCAAACAGAGACAAGGTTGATATAATTATAGAAACACTTCACACTTCATTGGTGCTATAGCAAAGAAACCACACACCTTTTTCGCCTACCAGAGTTTTTTGAATATTTTCTTATCGCTATCTACATAATTATTCAATATATGTCAAGTTTCTTAGTGGATTAACGTTGTCTTCTCGATGTTATTTTGGATGAATATAAATTCACAGAGTCTTCTCATATTCATATCATATCATATTGAAGGTATTATACCTATCATAGCATGGAGAAAAACTCAAATGAAATATTTAATTTTCTTGTGAAAAAATTGTGATTCTTATTTCACGCATTATGATAATCTTGAAAAAGAACCTGCATTTTCTGGATGTGAGTATTTTAAGTTCCATATAAAAAACATTGAACCTTCTATCGAACAATATCATACTGATGATTCAAAATAAATAGCTCCTAGCTCTGAAAACAGCCAAGTTTGTGATTGATAATAACTTCGAGCAAACATGGACTTTTACAAGAGATTGAACAAGTTCCTTTCTTCCGTTGGTTTACTATATGATCTGAGTGATTTAGTTTCTGAAATATCCATTTCCAGAATGATGAAATTGGATGTTCCTGAATTCGAACCATCACTGTCCAATACTAACTGATGGAATGATTTCTTGTGAATTTTCTTATTCTGGATCACTATACATATATGTTCAATTTCATTTAGTTCCCGAAAAATTTCAACGAGTGTTATGCCAACCAGTTTGCAATCACTTCTGTAACAATTTTGATAATGTGTGGTTTAAATTAGATTATTCTGTATTTCATAAATAAGTTCAGTTTGTTCAAAGTTCTTCAGTTTATCTAGTTTGACAAATGGGTATTATTTATATAAAGTGTCACTTGATGTATTAAAGTTTTTTGCAAATATGGTTTTTATTCATTTATTCTGTAGTCTCTGCAGTTTGTTTATCACTTCAACACTAGCATTTCCATAGCATGAAATAAGATATCTTATATGAGGTTCAATAAAACTATTATATAAGAGATATCTGGCATTTTTGCTTAGCATCGTCGTATTGCACCCAGCATTGGGGCTATTTTTTTAGGATTCTGTCTATATTGTCATTCCATGTTATTTTCAGTCACTATAAGGCCTAGGTATCTATATTGTTGAACTTTTTTCAGTACACAGTCATTTATTTTCATTTTTGGATATATCTGTTTTTTCCCACTTGATGTAGCACCATGTAAACAGTCTTTTCCACATTTATAGTAAATTTATTGTAGCACAGCCACTGATAGTACCTTTCACTGTTCATGTTTTGTTCAAGCTGAAATGTTAACAACATAAATATGGACTTGGCAACAATTCTCGATAGGGGAGCCAATAACTTGGTAGAATTCAATGCAAACTAAACACAAGCATGCCTTTTCTCTCGAAAATCCGAACTCACTGTGCCCAACATAAGCTTTTCAGGAGTAACCATTCCTTCGAAGACATCCATTTCGATGCTTGGTATTACTATCAGCAATAACCTTCCTTGGGAGAATCACGTAAGATCAATTGCTAAAAGTGCATCCCAAAAACTTGGTTTTCTGTTTCGGGCCAGGAGCTATTTCATTTCCAGTCAGCTGCTTATGATCTATATATAAGGCACAGATCCGACCTGTCCTGGAAATCTGTTCCCATATTTGGAGTGCAGCACCCAAATATACCCTGAAACTGTTGGATTCTGTCCAAAAAAGGGCAATTCGTCTCGTGGGTGATGCCTCGATCGCTCACAAACTCATTCACTTCTCTGCAACACCGTCGAAAAGTTGTCGATCTGGCTCTATTTTATAGATATTTTCATGGACGATGATCTTCTGAAATATCAACAATTGTTCCTCCCTTGGCAGTCCCTGCGAGATTATCCCGTCGAGTTGAGGCTTCGTACCCCTTCGTGGTCACTTTGGAGACCTGCACAACATCTCTTTCCAAAGACTCGTTCATCCAACGAACAGCGAGGCTCTGGAACACATTGCCAAGGGAGGTGTTTCCCGAGGCATATAACCTCCAGAAATTTGAGAAGAACACCAATTCCTACCTCATTTTCCTTGGTTCTCACGATGTTCTCTGAACATTACAGGATATCCCTTTTCGTGAGAATCAGAACATAAAAAAAGCTCGATTTTATTTACCTACTGTTGAGAAAATAAGATCTGTATCATCGCAGTATTTGTTGTACTATACTCCTAACCCTAGATATTTTAGACTTTGTACATGTAATAGGTATTATAGTGGGCCCAAGACTGACCCTTCAGCTACTCCTACTTCGCCGCTTTCTTCATCACTCATTTCCCCATTGACATAGGTTTGTTGCCTTCTTCCCGTGGAATATGAGTTTAGTAGTTCATGACATTTTTCACGAAATCACATGTTCTGTCATTTTTTTAGCAGTAAAGCAATAAATGAGTTTGATTCCTAAGAATAGGTATAGAGTAGGGTGGTTAATTTTGTCAGCGACTGTGTTGAGAAGGTGAAAATCATCTATGGTCTCTTTTGTGGACCATTGTGCATCATAGAACGGCTAGGCTCTGGAATTCATTGCCTGTGGAAGTATTCCCAACAACATATATACTCCAAAAGTTCAAAAAAATTTCAATACCTACCTCCTGTCCCTATCCTCCCTAGGAACGCACGATGTTCTTTGAACATTATAGGGATTCCGTTTTGTGCGCTCCAAGCGATAAAAAAAAAAATCTGTCTATGGAACGGCAAAACCTTGAAATTCTTTGCCAACAGATGTACTCCCAAGAACTTATAACCTCCAAAAGTTCAAAAATTGTCCAACACTTACTTCCTCTTCCTATCCTCTCGATGGGAAAATCAATGAATTCAACCCTTTGCTTTCCAGGAGGTCTCTTCCATCCTGCCGACGACAAACAGGAAATCGCTTTCCGGTACGCCATTGAGAAGATCAACGGCGATCGCTCCATCCTGCCGAGATCGAAGCTCAGCGCTCAGATCGAGAAGATTCCACCTCAGGACAGCTTCCATGCCTCCAAAAAAGGTGAGTATACGATCCGACACTTGTTGCCCTAAGGGCCTATTCATGCATCATTGTCTTAGTCATTAGGGGTATTCCCGGTCTTCGTATGATGCTTCGTATTATCGTATTTTCGTATCGTCGTATTCAGCAAACTAATCTGATTGGTCGATAAGGATACGCGGTCCTTCGTAACTTTACACTACCATTTTCTTGTGTAAGATTACAAAATTGCCGTTCTTACGAATTTACGTAACTGTTCTGAATTTTGTCCCGTGACCGGTGAGCATAAAGCACAACATAAATACCTCTGATTATTGTGAATAATCTCTGGTATTGAACATTTTGATTTGGATAAAGGTATTTCAGAAATGGTAAGAATAAGAACAAGAACTATGTGTCAATCTTGGAGAAGGACTTGAATTATTGAAATTGTGAATTCAGTCATGCAGTTCTAGCTCTGTTTCCAAGAGGAAACAAGGCCCTCATAAAAAGTGGACAGATGATGAATTTGAATTTTTCAATTTCGCACTGGAAGCTTCGGAATTAACTGACAGTTGACATTGCTATCCATGGATCGTAGGTCATTTTCGTAAATATACGAAGTCAGATACGAGGGCTTCGGAATACTCCTATTGTCTTAATCATAGACTTAACCAAGGTGGTTAGAATATTAACTCATCATATTTGGACCTTTATGCATCACAGTCTTTAGGCTCAAGAATTATGATGTGACAATTGACAATCCGTCAAAAGTGTCAACTGAGGTGTCAATAATGTCAACTGTCAATTCTGATATTTTGTTTTTGAGCAGGTTTTCGAGCTGAATTTGAAGATTATTTGAGTTTATTTTGTTCTTTCGTAGAAATCTCTCACGAATTCGAAATTGGATTCATGGGAATTACTATGTCATACATTTATTTGAGTCTCGCCACTCTGGTTTATTGTATTAATTATTGACACAGCACAGAATGGCACTGATTATTTGGTGACAAACACAAAATTAAAACCAGAGAATGGAAGATTTGTATTTCGTGCAAGATAATTTATTCAATATTCGAAGCATAGCGCTTTCGACTGTTAAGTCATCATCAGTGCGTACTCGTCAGGTTAACAGGGAAATTCGTCCATAAAAATATCTTTGGTCCAGTTTAAAACTAACGACATTAGGGTAAAATACGTTACAAACAAATTAAGAAGTGTTTCCCAATTGGGGGTAAAATATGGATTACATTTTGTTGAGCAGCCATTGTCGCTGCGACATTTCGTGTTGAAGTGAACTTGATGACTCATCTTATCCCCTTTTGGAATATGAAGTGGACGATAGTATTTGTTTGAAAATTGAATGAACGTTGTTTTATCCAAGTTGTTTATCAAATGGTTACATCTACACCATACTTCGAATTCATCAATGACTGTTTTTATTTTATTATTCATCTCGTCTGGACTTGGGGAAGCCACAATGATGGTAGTATCATCGGCGTACATAAAAACTCGGCCTTCTGTTATATTTTCTGGAAGATCGTTTACGTATAATAAAAACAGCAGTGGTCCAAGTACTTCCCCTTGCGGTGTTCCCAAGTCCACATCAAATGGATCTGATATGTGGTCATTTACTTTGACTACCACTATTCTATTACTCACATATGACTTATATTTTGATACTTCATTGAAATTGTTCCACTGTGTAGGAAGGCCAACATTCATTTTCGTTGGAAACTATGATTGCATGATTATATTGTCAGCTAGGCTAATTGCAATATTCATCTTAGCGTGTTGATTGCATTACCTACTGTTAGAGCTCAATTACCGAATAAAACATGATAATATGCTGATTGAAACATTCCTCTGTCAATTATACTAATTGCAGCATGAATCTTGCCATAAGAGCTGTATTCACAGATGAATATCTTGAATGAGGCAATAACCCAAATGCGTGAATCTAAATATGCATATTACTGAAATATAGTAGTATATATAGGTATGTATTCATTCTACCCAAAATAGTAGTTCACCTAACAAGTGCGGTAATGTCACTTTACACACGTTTTTGGTACACAATTTTTCTATTAGTGGGCGGAAAAAATCCAAAAATTAAAATGAAGAATCATTTATCATTATTATTGAATATTCAAATGTCGGTATACTCCCCAAAATTTCAATAAAACTACTTTTCCGCACTAGTGACTCTTAAAACACTGAAATAAGTGCGGAAAAAATCCACGATTACTATAGGAGTTTCCTTACGTGCGCAACAAGAGATAAAGAAAATCATTATTGATAATATCAATACTAACAAACTTACTTTTCTGCCCTAAAATGAGTGCGAAATAGTAATTTCCACAAAAAAATTAATGCGGAAAAAATTTGTCCGCACTAGTGCGGAGAAGTGATCCTTTCAGCACTAAGAAGAGTGCGGAAAAATCGAATTTTCCGCACGCTAGTAAAAAAGAAAAAGCAATATTATTTCGTTGGTGCAACAATTTTATTCCGTATAAAAAGTGTGACTGTAGAAGACGTTTGATTTCTCCTCCAACAATGAAAACTCTCCATCCGCTGAATTTTTGTCAAAATTAATTGGTCTATACCGGAGTCCCTTGACACTGACAAATCCTAAGAGATATTTCTTCATCATCAGATCCAGACTTCAGAATTCGAATCAGGACACGATCCCAGGGCGAAACCCAACAGGAGTTGTAATAATGCCCTTTTGATCTCCTTTCGACAGGAAATCAATCATTCAAAGACACACCTATCATTGAACGGAATTTCAAAGAAAATTACAATTATATACAGGGTGTCCAGGAAAATGTGGAGAATTTCTCGGATTCACATAGTACCTGAAAAAATAAGATGAGATGAGTTCCTTCAAACTTTGGTCGTGAGAAGCTTCGTTTTCGAGATACAGGAAAATTAGATTTTTCTTCATTCACTAGAAAACCATTCAACAAAAATACTGCTGCTGCTGGTAATATATTAATTATCTGTTTGTGAGACTTGCCCTATCAATGAACGGAATTTCATAGAAAATTACAATCATACACAGGGTGTCCGGGAAAATGTGGAAAATTGCTCGGACTCACATAGTACTTGAAAAAATTAGATCCCTGAGGAACACCCATACATACCGATCCTATTTCTGATGTCACTAGTGATATCGAATCTTCATGTTCAAATCTTAAAGCAACGCATTGGCTCCGACTCTCAAGAAAAGTTTTCAACCAACTATGAGGTTTTCCTCTAAAACAGTAAGATTCCATAATATCTAGTAGTTTTAGATGAGTAACTGCATCAGATCCTGTCCAAAATTACCAGCAAAAACTCAATTTCTTTGGGGGTGGGGGAGCAATTTCGCCTTGTGCCTTCTCCCCTCCCCAGGAAATCAATTTATTATCTAGGAATGTATGATCTTGTTTGTATATCAGCCTTGATTGCATACTAGGCATCTAAAATTGCCAATATGAACGAGCCCTCAACCCCCCTCACGGATCCGGCACTGTTTGCGACCCAGTAAACTTAGTTACCCTTGCTCAAAGAAGGCTTTGCCATCTTAATTATCATTCCCTGGCAACGGTTTCAGCTGTTCCAAATGGTCCAGGCTCGGCATCTTGTTTCCATAAACAGTCCCTGGATTTGTTTTGTGTTTTCTTGTTTACGACGAAAAGGTACTCAGTGTTTCGGTCTTTCGTTGTTTTCGTGTTTCTTTTGGGTTGCCTTGAAGGAGATGAAAGTGTCGCATTATTTGTTCACGATGTGCTGGAGAGGTCGGAAGTTTTTTTTTCCTGATGGAATGGTAATTACACCATCAGGGTATTTATTCTAGCTTGGTGCAAAACTCGATACTATTTTTTTACTTATAGCTACTGATCGAACTTAATTATCAAGTACGAAACAGCCACAATGCACAAAGTGGAATGAAATGTTGAATAAATACAAAAAGCTCATAGACATTTCCACACAATGTTCATAAAATGAACATCAATGGTAAATTTCGGAAGAAAAACAACCACTTTTCTGAATCACATCCTCACGAAATCTATGCAACGACTCGTATAAACGAATACTGATACAAGTGATTCTTTCCTGAATGCCTTTTTTTTAATCGCTTGGAGCGCACGAAAGGGAATCCCTTTAATGTTCAAAGAACATCGTGCGTTCCTAGTGAGGATAGGGATAGGAAGTGAAAGGTCGCCGACCTTCCTACGGTGTTCCAATGATGTCAAAGAGTGAGTGAGTGTGGCGTCACCCACCAGGCGGATGGCTCTTCTCTGGATGGAATCTAAGAGCATCAGCGTATGTTTTGGTGCTGAACCCCATATGTGGGAACAGTATTCTAGAACAGGCGGTATCTGCGCTTTGTAGATCATGAGAAGCTGTTGAGGTGTAAAGTAGCTTTTCGCACGGAACAAGAATCCGAGTTTTTGTGAAGCAGCTTTTGCGATGGATCTGACATGATTATCCCATGAAAGAGTGTTGCTGATGGAAATACCGAGCATAGATATGGTGGGCTTGGTGGGGATGGTGGAGTCAGACATTACAATATCGGGCATACTGAGTTCCGCCTTTCTAGAGAAAATGCAGGCTTGAGTTTTGGTGGCGTTGAATTCAACTAGGTTGTTGGTTCCCCAGGCTGTGATTTCAGCAAGATCTTCATTGGCAGCCTTAACCTGCCTGCGCCGTGAGTTCTTAGTTTCCTGGGAAGAAATGGGAATTCTGGAAGAGAACGCAGTATGGAGGGTACTATCATCTGCAAAGCTGTGGATGGGGCAAGTTTTTACTCCCAACAGATCATTGATATGAAGCAGGAATAAAGTTGGTGCCAAAATTGATCCTTGTGGAACGCCGGAATTGATGTCAATGGTATCAGACGATACACCGTCCACCACCACGTGAAGCGATCTGCCTAAAAGAAAACTCGATAAGAAATGGCATAGCTGTGTTTTTCTAATGAAGCTTGCCATAAATGGGTCACGTAGGCAAGTAGATCTCCAGTAGATCTTCGGTGGCGAAAGCCGTATTGTCTA